GCCATAATGCAGCCAGTACCCACCCGCCATAATGCAGCCAGTACCCACCCGCCATAATCCTGATAGTACCCACCCGCCATAATGCAGCCAGTACCCACCCACCATAATGCAGCCAGTACCCACCCGTCCATAATGCAGCCTGTACCCACCCGCCATAATGCAGCCAGTACCCACCCGCCATAATGCAGCCAGTACCCACCCACCATAATCCAGCCAGTACCCACCCGCCATAATGCAGCCAGTACCCACCCGCCATAATGCAGCCAGTACCCACCCGCCATAATGCAGCCAGTACCCACCCGCCATAATGCAGCCAGTACCCACCCGCCATAATGCAGCCAGTACCCACCGACCATAATCCAGCCAGTACCCACCCGCCATAATGCAGCCAGTACCCACCCCGCCATAATGCAGCCAGTACCCACCCGCCATAATGCAGCCAGCCCCCCCCGCCATAATGCAGCCAGTACCCACCCACCATAATCCTGACAGTACCCACCCACCATAATCCAGCAGTACCCACCCGCCATAATCCTGACAGTACCCACCCGCCATAATGCAGCCAGTACCCACCCACCACAGTTCTCACCAGTGCACATATGCCACGATACTGGGCATAAAAACTTGTTCACGAGTAAAGTGTTGTAAGTGCTAAGATATCCTCAGAAAGTATGAGGAAATAACCCTGGAGTTACCTAGTAATCTAAGCCAGGTTAATCCTCCCTCCCCCCTCCCCTTCCCCCCCTTCTCCCCTACTCCCACGTTCCCCCTCTCACCCTTCCCACTCCCCGTTCCCCCTCTCTCCCCTTCCCCCACCTTCTCCCCCCTGCCCCCCTCCCCCCAAATGGTGGTGGCTGGTGTGAGTACCCATGGTAGTAGATGCCCCGATGGGTGTTTGATGGTATTGGGTGTATTGTGTGTGTGTGCATGGTAGTAATGGGGGATGATAGGGTTGGGGGAGGGTGGGGGGGAAGCGTTTAGGATGGAGGCGGAAGGGGAAGGGGAATGGGGGGGGGAGGAGGGAGATGGGGTAATCATGGCGCGCGACCTTGAGCTCCCCCCCCTCCATCTTGCTACACTCCCCCCCCCCCCACACTATCCTCAACCCGCTGGGATCACCTCTCACTGTTGTGTTGCTCCCCCTCCCTCCCCTCCTCCCTCTCCTTCCCCTCACTCTTCCTTCATCCCCGGGTATTGTGCCCTGGATATACCAGGGAGCCCCCCCCCCCTCCGCCGCAGTTGGGTAGTGTATGTCCTCCTCCCACCCCCCCCCCCCACACACACCACAATACCACGCCCCCCATACCCACATGTCCTTCCCCCCCCCCTCCCCCCGCCTCATGGTCCCTGACGCTCCCCCCTCCGGAGCGCCGTGCGTGAGGTGGGAGCGTAGAGCAGTGGAGGGGCGTCACTCGGTCGCTAGCCGCAGCCCAGACCAGCCGCACTAACTAGACAGGCTCGACACGCTCGGGAGTGCCGCCACGGTAGCCTGAGTCCAGACTCCAGCCACCAGGTCCCCGTGTCTCAGAACAGCCTCCCGCTCGCGCTCGTTCTTCGTGTCGGCTGTTTACGCCCCAGTTGCCTGCACCAGCACAAGCAGGATAGCTAGCCAAGCCGACTAAGAGCCTGTCTAGCGGTTTATCCCCACCCCCGAAAACGGATAATCTCTGTCCAGTTAATTTTCTACCAAGATTCAACTTTTCTGTCTCCTCGAATTGCTCAAGTCCAACAAGTCCCTCTGCCTCATTCCTCTTCACCTCTATACAAAAATAATTCACATCAGGAAGAACCAGCGGAAGTTTACGGAGAAGCACAGTGTCTAGTGAAGAATTAAGAGCAACAGTGAGTTCGTGACGTGGACAGCACACATCTGGGTCATCCCCGGCGTGATCGTCGGCAGCAGCAGCAGCAGCAGGAGGTGGTGGCCACCATCCCCGGGTGAGCGTGGCCGCACAGAAGCCGTCCTGGCCACGAGTGTTACACAAGTGGGAGTCTGCGGCAGCTGACCTCCGCCAGCCAAGTGGCCACTCGCGTGACGAGGCGCCCAACTTTCACGTGACGCAACGCGTGGGTTTCATCACGGGGACAAGAGCGAGTCTGCCTCTTAAACCCGGCCGCACAGGACAGTGGCTCACTGCGGTGCTCAGACGGCAGGAGTCCACCGCCAGAGACACGCCCCCGCCCCAGCCGCTCTCCCCCGCCACCTCCGTCAGGAAAGTGAAAGTAACAAGAGCGGTCAAGCCAGCCCCACGCCCCGCTCGTTGCCACGAGACACCCTCGGCGCCTCGCCAAGCTTCGCGGTCCCCCTCCACTTGTGAGTGTGTGAAGCCAGTGTGAAGGTGAATCACGCCCACATCGAGTGTGACGCTTGGCTTACCACCTCCCGTATCCAGCTACTAACCACAACCTGTGTCAATAGAAAGTGTTTGAGCGCCAGAGCTGTCAGGAAAACGCGCCGTCAGTGTATGTGCAAGCAGTGAGGGGAGTGGAGTGTCCCAGGGAGGGAGTGAGATAAGTGGTGTTTGCGAGTGTCAGTGAATTATATGCTCAAGGCTTCCGCCGTTATTCAAGTGATAAAGTGTTAACACAATGCCTGCCTACCACGGAACCAAAGTGGCATTCCATCCCGAGATGCACACTATGCATAATCCGCGCGCCCGAGAGATGCTCTACGCCCGGGGTAAGGCCACCCCTATGGTCCACCCTATGTTTGAGGCCCTAAAGAGTCGTCACGCCCAAGATAAGGTCGACTACGCCCGCATGATGAAGATGCGCGACCTGAGGAAGATGGTTGCAGATGGTGGGTATCCCACCTTCGACAGTCTCAAGCTCTTGGGCGCCGAGAACGACGCCAACTACTTGGACGTGTTCATGACAGAAGGGAACAAGCACCGACACCATAACGAGAACGACTCGAGGGCACGCACTCGCAGTGGCTCCCACACCTCTAAAGGCAGCAATAAACGTAATGTCGACGTCGAAAATATTAAGAAGACGTTATTGGGCAGTCTTCGCTCTGCTGCCAGCGATGAGAACATCTACGAGTCAGTGGAAGTGATCCAGTACCGGAAAACTGTTGAAGCCATCAGTCGCCAAAATAAAGTACGTTCCGTGCCAAAAACGGGTCACCCACTGTTCGACCACTTGCGGGTTGAGAACGTGTTGAAGCCCAAACGTCAGCACTCTGGCGAGCACCAGCAGCACCATCACCACCACCACCGCCGCAGCGAGGCCCACAACAGTGATGGCGGCAGCAACAGCCACAGCTCCTCGGGGTCCGGAGACGAGTTCGACTATACGAGAAAACCCAACTGTCGTTTTTCTCGCCGCGAGGTGTTAGGGACTTCGCATGGATCCAAGACACTCCAGAAGGAGGCGCGCCGCCCAAAACACTCCAGTGTACAGGTGGCGGAAGCTGGCTCCGAATCTGACGACGACTGGGCTATTCCACGTCCCAAGATCTGCGGTCGTAACCGACGGACGGGTGCGACGGGCCTCGTGACCCCCCATGACGAGTCCGATAGCTCAAGTAAGTCGACGGGTCTCCGGTGACGCCCACGCCCATCCTTCGCACCGCCCACGCTGTAGCCGCCTGCCTCCCCAGGGAGCCCAGCACGCACTCCACAACCTCGCCTAGTGGCCCCGTGCCCCGCGGGCCGCACCCACGGCATCTAAATTTTTGTCTTAAATGCTGAAGCTATGCGGCCCAAGGCCCAGTTCGTAGCATGTTGGCCATGGGTCATGCTTGACCATAAACTGCCTGCAGGAAATGTGGTCCATTTGCCAGTGGTTGTGCTTGCCTGTGGTGTGCGGCCCGTGTCCTCCCGGCTCCTCTGTACCAGAGAGCCACGGATGGTAACGCGCGGTGCCACGCCGGGCCGGGGCTCTCCACCGTCAGCCGCCCCCCCGGCTTGCATGTGAGGGCCAGCTGGCCAGTGGCACCGTCTCGTGGGCTGACATTCACGGGCCAGCTGGCCACACGGACCGGGAGGGCGGGACGGGCTGTGAGTGTGCACGGAGCACTGCCTGCGCCAGTGTTGTAGTCTCACACTTGTGCACCACTCACGCCGCACTTCACCACACGCAAAAGACACCCACACCCACCCACCTTGTACATCCCATGTACATAGTTGTACAGCTACTCCTTTCATGCATTGATTGTTCCTTTGTTTATGTTTGAATGCCGCAGCTGAATGTCAAAATTGGTTCATTAGCTTAAGTAGAGATAAGCCTATCCTATACCTGGTTCTTTTTTGTTTATATTTATCACCTGTGTTGGTCCAGTGTACACGAGGGGCAGTCCTGTGTGTCTGCTTCACACCACCAAACTTGTATCAATCGACCTGGGCATTGTGCTTCAAATAAAAGAGGTAGAGGGAACTCATTGTTTCATTCTCTTACCTTGAAATGTTGGTGAGCAGGTGAACCCTCAGTTCCTGACTCACCCGTCAATAATCTACAAGGCCTTAAAGTGCGTTGTTACTCACCAAGCAACTAACACTGAGTGCCAGTCACCGAGTATAGTCCAGTGAAACTCGTCAAGCATAAACAAGAGGAGAATCGGCTTTACTTCACCAGATGAGGAGCAGCAACGTAAAAGGTGTAGTCCTCCCTCCGCCTGTCACCTGTGTTGTCACCCCTCTCACTCACTCTCACTCTCTCACTTACTCTGTCACCTGTGTGTTTTCATCCTCACATGCTTACACTTGCATGCTGCTGCACCTATGCACTTTTTCATTGCAGTCACCACGCCCACACGGTCACCACGCCCACACGGTCACAACGCCCACACGGTCACAACGCCCACACGGTCACCACGGTCACCACGCCCACACGGCCACCATCCTCTACTCCTGCCCTACTCTATTTTGTTTTTTCTACCACTGGTCCACTTTCCATTTCGCTCTTAAATGTCTAACCTACATAACGTCTCATTTACAGCGCGATTTTACGCCAGTTCACATTCACTCGCTCTTGTTCCACTCGCACTTGTTCCATCCACTCGCTCTTGTTCCACACTCTTGTTTACTCGCTCTCTTACTCGCCTTCCGGCTTTAAACTCAATGGACTTAAAGAGTGCAATCTCACTGTCCACTCAACTCTCCACTCGACACTCAATTCCATAATCACACTACACTGCATATACTCTCCACGCCACATTCACTTTACACCCTTACCCCCCCCCCCATCTCTCCCCCCATCTCTCCCCCATCTCTCCCCCATCTCTTTCCCCATATCTCCCCCCATCTCTCTCCCATTTCTCTCCCCCATTCTCTCTCTCTCCCATTCTCTCTCTCTCTCCCATTCTCTCCCCCCCCCCCTCCTCCTCCTCCCTCCCCCCCCCCCCACACGCACTACGTTACCTGGCACGTGGCAGTAGCATCCTCACACACTCACAATATTCATAACGGCAAGATCCTCACCTTATATTGCAGTAATATATTAAAGAATCACTTAAATATCCATCTCAAAAGGTGAGAATTTGCCGTCCTGACGAATATGTTGAGGAAGGGGGAGGAGGAGGAGGCAGTTGTTAGCTTCTGTAGCTTGTAGTATTTCTGTAACTCTTAACGTGTTTTTTTCTGTAGCGCCTTCACCAAAGCTTTACTAACTCACCCAATGTTCTTGTGTGCGTATATTTCTTATTTTTTTTAATTTGCAGATTTAAATACCCTTCTGAGATAATATTAATTGATGTGATATTCTCCCTGATGTTGTGTAATACGTACCTGTTTGGGACCTGAGAATACCCGTTGAGCAAGTCTTAATATATATAGAGAGAGAGAGTACCTGATGGGTTGGGGGGGCTACTTATACATTGGTCCACTTCCTTGACACAGTTATCTGATTGGACCTGAATATCCATTATCTCTGCGGCGAACAGGAGATGGTGTTAGGTGCTGGTCTTTGGTTGGGAGTGTGGGGTCGTGTGGTGTGTCTCCCTCCATACACTGCCTCGCATCACTTGCTCCCACACCTGCCATATATATATTGTCAGTGCTGCCTCCAATGACTCTCTCACTTTTGCCTCTGCTTCCTCTCATTACCTCTTTTCACTACGACTGCTTCTCTGCCGCCTCCTATGACTGTCTCTGACTCCTGCTTCCCATGACTGCCTCTCACTATTTCCACTCAATATGGCTTCCTATGACTGCTTCTCACAGCTGCCTCTCGTGGTTGTCTCCTCTGCCTGTCACTACTACTTCCTCTATGACTACCTCTCAACACTGACTCACAACTCTTTTTTTAGATTCTCGCAAATCATTATTTTCATGTTCAAAGATAATATTGGCCCAGTGAGGCTGGAGCTTCTTGAACTGTCACTGTGTTGTCTCGCTCTTCCTGCACTGTGTCTTCCTCTCCTCTGTCTTTATCCACCTTCCTCCGTCCCCTCCCCTCCTTAACCCTTCCCTCCCTCCCTGCATGCCTCCCCTCCCCTCCCCTTCTCTCCCCCCAGTGTCACCCACTCCCCCCCTCCCCATCTTCTATCCCGTTCCATCCTTCCCCCCTCCCATCTGGTCTCCTGCCCGGGTCTCCTTTACTTAACTGAACTCTTGACATTCCCCCTCCGTTAGTCTTTGTTCTGTATTCTCCCACGCAAGCGCTCACGCTCTCTCTCTCTCCTCTCTCTCTATCTCTCTCTCTCCTGTCTCTCTCTCTCTCTCTGTCTCGTCTCGTCTCTTCTTCTCTCTCTCTCTCTCTCTCTCTCTATCTCTCTCTCGCTCTCTCTCTCTCTCATCTCTCTCTCCTCTCTCTCCTCTCCTCTCTCTCTCTCTGTCTCTGGTCTCATCTCTGTCTCTGTCTCTGCTCTCTCTCTCTCTCTCTCTCTCTCTCTCTCTCTCTCCTCTCTCTCTCTCTCTGTCTGTCTGTCTGTCTCTCTGTCTCTCTGCTCTCTCTGTCTCTGTCTATCTCATCTGCTCTCTCTGCTCTGTCTCTCTCTCTCTCTGTCTCTGTCTCTCTGCTCTCTGTGTGTCGGTCTCCTCTTCTCTACTCTCTCTCTATCTGATCTTCTCTCTTGTCTCTATCTCTCTGTCTCTCTGTCTCTGTCTTGTCTCTGTCTCTGTATCTGTCTCCTCTCTCTCTGCTCTCTCTCTCTCTCTCTCTCTCTCCTCTCTGGTCTCTCTCTGTCTCTCTGTCTCTCTGTCTCTGTCTGTCTCTCTGTCTCTCTGTCTCTGTCTCTTCTCTCTCTCTCTTCTCTCTCTCTCTCTCTCTCTCTCTCTCTCTCTCTCTCTCTCTCTCTCTCTCTCTCTCTCTATCTCTCTATTCTCTCTCTCTCTGTCTCTCTGTCTCTGTCTCTGTCTCTGTCTCTGTCTCTGTCTCTTCTCTCTTCTCTCTCTCTGTCTCTGTCTCTCTTCTCTCTCTCTCTCTGTCTTCTCTCTCGCGGTCTCTGTCTCTCTGTCTCTATGTCTCTCTGTCTCTGTCTCTCTCTGTCTCTGTCTCTGTCTCTGTCTCTCTCTCTCTCTCTCTCTCTCTCTCATCTTCTCTCTCTCTGTCTCTGTATCTGTCTCTCTCTCTCTCTTCTCTCTTGTCTCTCTCTCTCTCTCTGTCTCTCTCCTCTCTCTGTCTCTCTCTCTCTCTCTGTCTTTCTCCTCTCTCTGTCTCTCTCTCTCTGTCTCTCCTCTCTCTGTCTCTCTCCTCTCTCTCTCTCTCTCTCCTCTCTCTCTCTCTCTCTCTTCTCTCTCTCTCCTCTTTCCTCTCTTTTCTCTTCTTTCTTTCTTTTCCTAACTTAAAGACCCCTCTTACTTATGCTGAACAAAGACTTTTCTCCCGTATCAGAAACAGACTCGTTTCCTCCGGCCTGGACAGGACCCCACAACATGCTCCCCCTGCTGCCTTGACTCTCCTCTCCCTGTCTAGACAGATTCCTCTTCACCTACACACATTCCGACAACCCCCCCCCCACACCAAGCAGAAATGGACCCTCTTATTCAGCCTTATTCCTGGTCAGACTCTTTCCTCGTTCAATGCGGATACCTGTCCCCGATCCTAGACTAATCCATCCTTTAGTACCTAGACTAATCCATCCAGGTACCTGTCTCCGTATTTGTTGACTTTAGATTTAGTTACTCAGAACGAAATATCCATGTAGCACGGGCTCTAGTGAGAACCGTCTCCGTCATTGACAGGTAACCCCAGAATTAACAGACTCCTTTCTACAGCCCAGGCTGACCCCCTTTTCTTAAACAAGGACTTGCTTTCTTTAGAATAAATGAAGAGCGCTCCCTCTCCTTTTCATTTCTTTTACAGACAATTACCTTGAGTCTGTACAAAGACGCCTTCTACTTCAACCTTGAGACAACCTGTTTCCGCCAGCGTAGATATTGACACGTCTCTTCCGCCCAACCACTTGGGCTGGACGGTGGTTCCCCCCCCCCTCTCCCCCCGGCCCATACCAAATCCTTATCCTGATTTCTTTCAAGTGTTGTATTAGTCGAAATGGCTTGCCGCTTTCTCGCTTTCTCTTCCCGAACCCATTATCCGCCTAGTCAAATGTCCGAGCTATCCCGTATCACCCCAAATGTCCACTTTCTCATCTAACAGTGAAAAGTAACCCTTTTTCCCAGCCTCGGCATACTTTCTTCCCAGTCCCCCACTCGGATCAAATTTTGCCCTAGTGATGAAAAGTACCCTCTTCGACAACCCTGTGACAAACACCCTCTATCTATACTTGGATAGGTTGGTAGAGCGATAGCCTCGCTTTTCGGAGGGTCGATGTTAGAATCCCGATGGTTCAAGTCGCTGTTTCTCCACTCCTACATCGTGCCCCAGTTCTTAGTCTAGCCAAATGTGTACATAGTCTTACTGACTTTGCTCTTCGCCTAGTTAATTTACCTGCACTAGCCTGGGCAAGGTTATCGGGATATCATCTACTGTGACAAAGACTCCTCTCCCCTCATCCTAGGGGATGCCTTTTGCTGTCTTAACACAGACCTCGGCCTCTCCGTAGCCGAGGATAACGACCCATTTCTGCATATGTCTTCAATTTCTTGACACATAAGGTCATTGAAAATCATTCTTTTCTCACAATACTTCCATGTGGAATGTTGAACACCCGTGTGTACCAAATTGGAGGAGCTGTAGCAAACTGGAGGAACTGGACTAGTTAATGGAGTAAATGGTGTACCATATAGTACATCAACTGGTCCATATAATTGATGGACTATATGGTCGATCACGTAGTCCATCAATCCGGTGACATGTTGGCTAATGTCACCGGGTTGATAGACTACATGATCTACTGGGTATTGTTGCTGGGGGGAGCATTGGGTGTAAGCCAGGGGACCCCCTGATGGGTGGGCGACACACCCCCGGGGTCACCCCTCACTGTTAGGGGCCCCAGGGACCATCGACCCCTTACCCATTAACGGTCTTAATAACCC